TACATACAGAATGTTGAAAATGTTCCATTAGAGTTAGAGTAACAAAAATTTATTCATTATTATTTTTCTGTTTAAAAATATCTCTAACTTGTAAAGGAAAATAATACTTTCCTACTTACAACGTATATAAGATTACACCATAATTGGTATTGTTTGTTCATTACAGAGGGTTAATAAATAATATTCTAATGAATAATAACTTATAAATAATATCAATTTAATATTCAAATCTTTTTTTAAATTTCTTTTAAATACAATTCATATTTATTTTTATGAATATGGTTTTGTAAATCTTTAATTATGAAGTACAAATTAATAATAATTTCATTTTTTGAATTTCTGTAGAAGATAAAAATAAAAAAATACATTTCTTATCAATGATGTAAAATATTAAATATTTTCTTCATTTTCATTAAAAAAAATTCAACTTAAAAATGATAAGATTTAAACAAAAGATGTGGAGTAATTCATCATTAACAACAATCATCAATGACATAAAAGCTACCAATAAAATTATAACTTTTGTTGTAGTTCAAAATATAAACCAATCACAAGCATTTATTCAGAGTTTTGAAACTAACTTAGCACCATTTCTTATTCAACAAGGATCATACATTATGTTGTTTGAAGAATTTGACGAGAGATTAGCATTGTTAAATTTATTTTTACCAGAACCTGTTCTTTCAACTTCAATAATAATACTTAACAAATTTGGAGTTGTTTTGTTTCAAAAAGATGAAGCCATTGACTCATCTTGTATTGCATCAACTGTTCTTCAATTAAATTCACAGATCAATGCAAGTAAAAATCTTCCCACACAACAAAAAATAATAAGAGAAGAAAAAGAAGAAGAAGAAGAGGATAGTACAATACAAAAAGATAAAAAAATTAACGAAGAGAATAAAGAGAGTCTTAAAGAAGTAACGTCTGTGAATGAAATATTAAGAAAATTACCACCAAACCATAAACAAAATATGGCTTTATTTGAAATAAGAAAAAAACAACTTAATGCAGAACAACAACTAATAGAAAAACGAAGAAAAGAAGAACAAGAAAGGTATTTAAAAGAACAAAAAGAAGAAGAGAAAAAAAGAAAAGAAGAACAAGAAAATAAAGAAAAAGCTATTTGCGAAATGAATGAAATAAAAAAATTAAAAGCAATTCAAAACCTTGAAACAGAAGAAAGAATGAAAGAATTACAAAAAATTAAAACACAAAAACAAATGGAAAACATTACTAATTCTTATAATGGAATAATTAAAATTAAATTTAGATGTCATAATGGTAAAAGTGTTATTCATGAGTTTTATCCTACTAATTCAATTCAGGATATTTATGAGTATGTTAGATCTATTAATTATAGCAAAGCATTTACAATCACTGATATGAAAGGAAATAATTTGCCTGAAACTAATCTCTCATTAAAACAAGCTGGAATTAATGGATCAGTTATATTAAACATTAATAATCAAATGTAATTTTGAATTTATAAACAAAAATTGAAATAAATAACAATTTTTAAACTTTTTTTAATAAAAAATTAAAAAAAATAAATTAAAAAAAACTTAAAAAGAAAAAGAAATGGAAAATATTTGGTATGATGGACCTATTTCTGATGCTATTAAACAGTCATTAACAAATAATAAACTTATTGTTATAACAGTGGTTAATGGCAGTGATGAAAGTCAAACTGTTCTTCAATTATTTGAAAATGAATTAAAAGACACAATCAAAATAACAACTGCATTGTTGCTTCATGAAAATGATGAAAATCTTCAATTTTTCAGCTCTTTATGTTTGTTTTAATTATTACATAAATAAAAATAATTAATTAATGAATATAGATACTCAACCAATTGTATTTCCTTCAGTATTCTTCTTTAATGGAGCTGGGCTTCAAAAGGTATTGATTAAAAATGAAATTACTAAAGATAGTGTTTCATCATCAATATTTCAATTAACAATGGTATCAGTTTTGAGTCAACAAATTCCTAATCAACAAATTCCTAATCAACAACAACCAGTAAATACTTTTAATCAACAACCTACACAAATAAATTCATCTAATCAACAAAAACAAAAAGATGATGATGAAATCAAAGTAATGAAAGGAGAATTAAAAAGAAGGGAGAAAGAAAGAAAAGCACGTGAAGAACAAAGAATAAAAGAAGAAATGGTTGAACAAAATTTAATTAAAGAAAATGAAAAACAGAGAAAAGAAGATGAAGAATATAAAAAAACCTTAATTAAACGTATTAAATTAGAAAAAGAAAATAAAATTCAACAACAACAACAGGAAGAACAACAAAGAGAATTAGAATTAAAACAACAAAAACAAGAAAAAGAAGAAAAGAAACAAAAGGTTCATATAGCCATTAGACTACCAAATGGAGAAATAAAGAAAGAATATTTTGAAAAACAAGATACTCTTCAAAAAGTTTATAACTTTGTTATGGGTTTTGGATTTGATAAATTTGTTCTTATTGATGGAATTAAGAAAAATGAATTTACTGATCTTCAACAAACATTAGAAAATTTAGGATTTTGGCCATCTATTTTATTACATGTTGTTATAAAAAGTGTAGGAGAAAAAAAAGAGCCTATGTTTGGAACAGGAAATGGAACAGAAAATGTGCCACAACAAACATGGTATGAATGGTTTAAGTCAATGTTTTAAATTTTAAAAATTTAAATAAAAATTTTATTTTATGATTTATTCTGTTGAAGTTAAAGTCTTAGAAGAAGGGAAAAAAAAAGGATAAAAGAAATAGTTAGAACTTAAATATGACAAAAACAGATCTAAAAGAGAAAAAAAGAATAGAAACTACAAAAATAGAAAAGATGAAAAGAACTATAATAATCAATAAATTATAGATGGGAAGAAATAAAATTCGAATAGAACGAATTGAAAATGAAAAAAAAAGAGCAACTACATTTCAAAAAAGGAGACATGGTCTTATTAAAAAAGCAATGGAATTAAGTATTTTGTGTGATTGTAAAGTCTCTTTAATGGTTTTTAAAGATGATAAACTTGTAGTTTATAGTACAAATAATATTAAAAAAATGTTACTTGAATTTGTAGAATTTCAAGGTCAATTCATTTCATTTACTAATGAAGATTATTCTAATGTAGCTGATAATCAAATTGATATAGAACAACCAGAAAAACAAATTGACATTCCTAAGTCTAATTCTGAAATGTCTAAACCAGTTACTCAAAAAGTTAATCCACCTGAACCAATTTCTACTTCACAAGTAATAACTCATGACTCTATTCAACAAGATAATTACTCTACACCAACATCTGATAATTTATTAATTAAATCAAATACTATTATTCAACCAAATAATACTGAAGATATGCCTGAATTACCAACTGGTTCTCCTTTAACAACTCCTTTAAAAAAAGGAATGTATAATATCTCTACAATACCTCCAATTCAAACAACAAATTTATCAATAGATTGTACTTCTCAAAACTTAGAGTTACAAAAACCAACAGAATTTCAACACCCTTCGTTCATAGTTTGTTTCTTTTATTTGATTTTTTTTTTCATTAGAAAGTAATATAAAATGTTTTTATTTAATTGAATAGATGACTTATTTTTTAGTCATATCAACCAATTAAGAGAGAACCAATAGATCCTGACACTGAAATAATTCCTCCTAACAAGAAACAACTTCAGGACTGATTTAATTCTTTACTGTTTGAACTAATTTATTGATAATAATCTTAATACTTCTTTTACAAAATTTGAAAATCTTAAAATTGTTTGATAATCTCTCAATAGCATTTTTTTTTATATGATTATCTTTCCAACCATTGTTGTTACTTTGTTGTCTGTTTGTTAAGAAAGTAAATTAAAACAAATTAATAACTTAAATATATAGATGTTCAGTTATTCAATGGTTTATCAATCTTCTTTACTTATTGGACAATATGGTGATATTATTATTGGTCACCGAAACAATGACGCAATGCCATTTGCTTTGAATACAATGGCAATATGTTTTGTTTTTATGTTAGCCCTTGTTTTATTTGTATATTGCATATCAATTATATTAGCACATTCATGTGATAATAAAGTAATAACATTACAAAGTATAGTGTGCTCTATTTTAACTAGTTTATTATCAATTCTTGTTATTATTCTTCTTACTGTTTCTATTATTAATACTCAGAAATCATTTCCTTCTTTGTTCTCTACTGAAGGTGAGTCAGAACAAGACACAAATGAGAAAGGAAAAAAGGAATTTAGGAATCAGTTAGAGTATAAAGTTTGTTTTTTAAGTTTAAGTTATTTAGGTTAATAACAATAATTATTTACACTAAAAGTTTTCGTGTTGTGGGTTTGATGATGCAACTGTCCAATATGAATGCCATAAGTTCACACCATTAGAGTTAACATGTAAAACTACGTTATATGAACCATTTATGAAATTAATGTATTATCTATTTGTTCCAATTTCTGCAACTCTTATATTATGTGTGATTATTACTTGTATTAATTCAACACTCTTCATGTATCAACGAAAAGAATATCGACATGATGAATGGGGTGATACTTTTTATTCTTAATTTTTAATTTTGTTATATATTACATTTTCAAGAAGAACTTTAAATAAATATCTTAGATTTAATAGAAAATAAAAATTCTAATAAAAATTAAAAAAAACAAATAGAAAAAAAAAAGAATCTTCAAAATAAAAATATGACAGTTACTACTAAAACACCTTCTACAGATGTTTCATTTGATGTACCATTATTGAGAGGATACCTTACAAGAAGAGATCCGAAAGGGACACATTCATGGAGTAAATTATGGTATCAAAATAGTTTTGAAACACCATTAATATTAGAATGTTTTTCAGATGAAAAGTCAACAAAAGTAGTAGAGTCGATTAATTTTAAAGAAGTAACTGATCTAAAGATTGTTAGAACAAAAGCTGAAGACTCAACTAAAAAAAGATATGGTTTTCAATTTAAATATGGAAAACATACCCAAAAATTATTAACTGATGGTGAAGAAGAAGGAGAATATTGGAGAGATGGATTTACATCATTATCTCGTATTGCTCAAGGAAATGCACCAACTAAATCAAAATTAAAATCAAAAAAATCATCTAAAGAATCAACAAATGAATATGGATTATTTCCTGGTGAAGACTTTGCTACTACATTAGTTGATTTTTATAGTACTGACCCTGGAGTTCTTTCTTTTAAAAAAGGAGAAATTGTTATTATTATTGGCAATATTGAAAATGGTTGGATTCCTGTTGAATTTGGTGGTAAAAGAGGTTGGGTTCCTAACGAATTTATTAAACCCATGGGTTTAAAAAAATAATTGTTTAATGAATTGAACATTACATGGTTGTATTTGATTCTTCTATTGTTTTTTTTCTTTTATTATTTATTTTGGAACTTTTGG